AGGGTAAAACTTGCAAACAGCTTCGCATGACCAGCGAGGGAACAATGGCCGCTGATGTGGAAATTGAGTGGAAGCTCAGAACAATGCCTGATCAAAATTTCTTGACCGCGGCAGGAACTGATCACAGCCAAAGATCATTTTGGGTTCATACCAGGAAGGTCATTCACCTGTGCAATCACTGCACTTCAATCGCTCCTAAGGAAGATGACAGAAGAGAACAATGCGACCTACATACAGTTTTTCTTTTTTGCAACTGTGAATTAAGAAGGCTAATAGTGAGCTACAGACATAGTTAATCATGACCACTGTGCTGATGATGATCTGCTAAGCACTATTTGACAATATTTGCAGCAGTTATTGAGCGTATTAAAGGAAGAAAATATGAATGACAGAACCATAAGAGATTTACGTGAAACGCAAAGCTGGATTCAGTAAAACATCGATCATCAACTTTTCAAACTCGTAAAGTCCCGTTTGAATCATCCATGCCAACACATAGTCCATTCATCTTACATTTGCATTGCAACTGCCTAGCCCCCACATTTTAGGCTTGGCGATATCGTTGAGGGTGAGGGATCATGTGCCAGACTAACTTACCAAAGGGTACCGTAGCAGCTACCGTAGTCACAAATGCCGGTGACTGATATATAAACGGTAGACTAACAAGGCTTCGGCAGACAAGTTTATCATAGCTTCCGATGCACTTAGGGCAGGATCATCAGATTATCTTCCCGGATGAAAAGAATTATTCACTGCCGTCGTTTGTTCGGTTTCTGAACGAAGCGTGATGAAATCTTTAAATCTTAAAATAAAGATTTCCCAGCTGACAAGTAACGGCAAGATCGACCGAAGTCATCCGTGAAATGCTTGATTGGAAATATCAGGAAATTAAAAGAAAATAATGTTATTATTCCACGTGAAGGATAAAGAATTGGACAAAACGGAAACTTTAGTCAAAATAGTACCGCGATAAACTTGTGTATGAACAGGGCCAAGTTTCAGTTTGCAGTTTCCTGTTTGTTTCTGTCAGACGGTACTCGCCGACTTTATGCACAGAGGCTAGTAGCTCGATGTGTGCCAGTCGTAATCAGGCTCAAATAGACTGATATTCACCACCTGCGGGGTGGTACTCTTGTTTTTTTGATAAACATCAGCAAAATGACCGGTTCTCTTAAGTCAATTCACGGTTTCAACAACTCCTTGAACAGGGGAAAGTCAACTTCTACCAAAGGGTCCTGTTAGAAGTGCTTTAGCTTTGGACCGAGGACAATGTCGTGCGGACTAGAAACGTCAAAAAAAACTTTAACTTTTTATGTGACGCAGCGTCAAAATAATGTCCAAATTATGGAAATTAACAAAGGGCCATTTCGTCGGAATCTGCTAAATCGACGAGTTTCACATGGCAGATGCTCAGAGCCCGTAAGAAATGATATTCTGCGTTGTTTAACACTAGATGTTACTGTCTATGTCCTTCGGTACCATTGTAAGCATCGCAAGAACCGGTTGTTTTTCCGGTTCGGTATAGCGTAATGGTAGCGTTCCATTTGTTTTCAAGGGAAAGTAGAAGTTGTATGAGGGTAATGGTTGAAATGCATTGTGTTGTTTGCATTGATACAGAACTGCTCACTGCGACGCTTACTCATGACATGACTATTTCTTTAATGCAAACAATTGTGTGCATTTGAGAATTCCTTTTACACAAAGTACTTATTTCATATCGCTCGTAATCCGCAGGGAGCCAATGAGCTTCTAAGATACCGTTCCTTTCTGGTTGTTCGGGAGTGGGCCAGTCAGAATCTAAAATCTAACAGTAATCGATTAGTCAGGTGGAAATGAGCCAATCAACTAACAGAATATTGGGCATGGGCATTTCTTCCCGTTCGCGCTTTTGCCATGCATCAGTAGCACCAACGTGCGAAATGTCGCGAGGAAAAAACCTGACGCGCATTGGCGAAACTTTTCATGTCAGTCACTCAGTCAACTTCTATGAGCACTCATCCGTTCTCAACGAGAAGGCAAATACGTCAGGTAGTGCCTCCAGAGTCAGTTCCGAAAACTGTGCCAGCGTTTCAGCCTGCGAAGGCACCAGACTGTCACTCGTGAAGCAAATGATTCTAGGAATACCCGATTTGCATATCGTTGCT